ACATTTTGGGTTGTCCTCGCCCGACCTACTGCAGACACATTAGTCACACCTTGCAGATTTTGGCACTTTACCTCTTTACGTGAAGTGTCCAGTTTTCACTCTCAGCTACGTATGGTGTTTATAGGGGCCCCATTCTTTGCAGACTGTTTACTCAGAGAACTATTGCTTTAGGAAATGTGTAGGTTGGTAGGCCGGATTGGGTTACAAGAGGGCCAGGCATATTCTACTGACACTGTAGCGGACAGTGAGAAAGCTGGAGGTGTTTTGTAACAGGCCTCCCAAAAGGGGAAAGCAAAATGATCTCTCTTTCTGTCGTGAGGACCAAAAGAACGAACGGGAATTGTACGAGGCTTCGGAATCCAAACGAACTCAAATGTCATCCTTTAAGAGCACAGATAAACAATGAACCTCATGTTACAATAGGATGCATTCAAGCATTAAGAGGGACAGGAGTGCTCGGTTAGGACATGAAATCAAATCCTTATTCTTCCACAGTACGCATGAGCGCATTACCAAACGCGACAAACCTTTCCCTACCTCTAGATATGCATCCTTAACTGAGTTCCTGTTCAGGCATACATTCAGCAATATGCATGGGATTACCTTTTAGCCTTCATTTAAAATATATATATATATATATATATATATATCGAAATGCAAAAATAAAAATCCTCACTACGGGCCAACCATTCAGCATGTTCATTTTGCCCTTCAGCAAAACACATGCACATCTGGGACTGTGGAGAACTTATTTGTGAACTGTACCCTCTAGTGGACAAGTTCATTGTCAGCAGAACTGTTACATGCTGGAGCTTCATAACAAAAAGCAAACCCAAAATAATGAAGTCTGAGTCTATATGACTGAAATAAGCCTTTTGACTAAAAAGAACATACTGAGATAACCAAACAAAAGAAACACAAAAGAAAAGCTTCATGTACTAAAATTACTTCTAAACACAATTATATTCAAAGTACATGCTAACCTTACACAAAAGCAGTCTCTGCATAATTTTGAAGACTGCTAGGCCAACACTCATTGCCTCATATACAATTTTTTAAAAAATCCATTATGATAACATTTATATTACATAGTTTCTGGTACACATTAGCCATGCAAATGTGGTACAGTATGGGAAGACCATGCAGAATGTGCAAAATAAAGCAATTTTACACAAATCATGTCATTGTTTATTAAATACATTGTCTAATTTTATGTGCCAGGCCTGAGCATGGGTTTACGTTTGTTTATGTTAAGCACTTGGTGGATGTTCAGTGGAATGACATGGTGTAAACATGCAGCTTGTGCATCAGCACAGTCATGGGTTAAGCATCCTAGTTGCTCTTATTAAGGGAAGCAAAAATGACTATCAGAATCATCATGCCCATTCAAAGTAAGGAGGTTGTGGATTTTAAATGTAACAACAACAAAAAAGGCAAATTTATGAGATGACCTACATAATTACTGTAGTTAAAAAAAATTTTTTTTTTTTAAAGTGCCCAAAACATCGACAAATCATTTAGCCTAAAAATCACAGACTCGTTTGAACAAATTACAGCCAAATGAAAATGCACAATCACTGCCTGTTATGTTCAGCTGCAGTTTTGCTTAGTTTAAAAAATAATAACTTTAATAATAATTATATTAAATTAAAATATAAAAAGTGTCAGAAATGTCAATGATGCCCTATAAAAGTAGTGTATAATATTCCCGTCTTATCACCTAACTGTTTGTGTGTCAGAAATGTTAATCAAATAATTTATGGAGTTTACATTACATACTGGTAAAAAAATTTATAACCTGAATGCACTGTAAGTCACTTTGGATAAAAGCGTCTGCTAAATGCATAAATTATTATAATTATTATTACATTTGTTCATGTATAATCAACTGTTTACAATTGGCACCTAAATAATGCATTGCATAAAACAAAAAGAAACAGGTGTCTAGTGCAGTGGGATTGCTTGTCATGGCATCTTAAAAGTTTTGCCAAGACTGTACAGAAATGGAGAACAACTTCATTGATCTTTTGGAGGTTTAAAAAAATAAATAAAAACCTACAGTCATTATAAAAGCAATGTTATTTTGCAATACCTTTGGTTGACCATGTTTTGAACCTACATGACCAAACTGATCTCACCAATGACACTTGTGTGAAATCAGGTATATGTCTAATGAAATCCCACAGCACAGGCTCATTCAAGTTTATTAAGTCTTGTTGCAATTGTTCATCTGAGGCAGATTATATTACAGTACAGCTCATAAAAACAGACGAGTTTTAAAGATGCCAGATTCCTAGATAATTGCAGTTACTGATTTGATTAGTAAACGTGCATTTTTCAGCACATCTCATCGAATAAATGTGTTTTTGAGGTTGAGGGTTTATTTTCGTGCGTGGATCCGGAACAGGTCACGCACGTTTCTCAATCCTTCGCCTCCATAATCACGTCGATGTGCACTTAACGTTCACTACACTCAGACCACTAGACAGAGAAAAAGAAAATGGCGCAGAGACTAAGTCCTCAACCCCCAAACCCTCACTTTCACAAGCCTCGTTAGACCGTTTTTCTAACTCTACAAATGATCAAGCTATACTAACTGGCAAAAAATCTCTTTCTCTTTCAAAATCGCCGTTTTTCGTCGATTTTAAAGCAACGTAAATACGATTTTTTAGGGCTCAATTTGAACAATAGGCGCTGGTCAGTGAGCGAGATGGGACTTAGTCTCTGGGACGCCATTTCTGTCCTTAAAACTAACTGGTCGTCAAGCAAGCTCCTGAGCGATCACGTTAGATGTGTAAAACGTAAATTTGAATTATCAATATCATAATGTGGTGATTAGACAAGTCCAACTCACCATTATGTCTGGATCCCGAGTCGATCTGCGGAAAAACAGTGGTGTATAAGTTAATGTTAAATCGTGCCCTGTCAATAGGCTGCTAACTTTCAACTTGATGCTAGTCGGAGGGTTAGCGCTCAAGCTAACAAGCCTGTTCATAAAACAGCGTTTAAATACCACCGCTGCGGAGGACAGGGGACTATATAAAGTTTTAATTCCCAAAATGACGCATTTGTTAGGACACGTTAATGTAAGAAAAGCGTCAATAGACAGCAAGAGCTGAAAATATGAAATTATTATATTCAAAGCCGACTTCTAGTGCCTGTTAGCTTAGCATGCTGGGGGTAGACTGCCGCTGCGGATGGAATTTAAACAGCCGAGCTAGTGACTACAAACCCTCAAGAAAGAAAAATAATAACTGACAACGTTAAATCACAAACACTTTACCTGGGAATCGTTGTGGGAATGGTCCCCACTCATTTCTATGGGTCTTATTTTTAAAATAACACTGTTAAAAGCCTGTTAAAGTAAAATGCCGGCGAGGAGCTGTAGGCAGAATGAAGAAAGACAGAGTTGTGTAACAGACCAAGCCCGAAATTCAAGGCACTGCGCATGTCAGAAGCGTTTAAAAGGATAAAAAGGCGTTATTCCTGCCCTGGCTCCTCCCACACCGCGTGCCCGCACAGCTCCGCTCTGTGACGTCACCCCTAATTTACTATGGGGTTAAAGCCACGTGGTACCAGTGAAGAGAGGCTTGCTGAAAGAAGTTATGAAGATTAATATTATCATCATCAATAATAATAAAAAATTATAATAATACATTTTTAACATTTGACTTGATAAACAAAATTCTAGATACAAAGCCTCATGTCACATGGCTAGGTATTATTTACTTTTTATACAGTAGAATAATACAAAAAGGCATTAGGAGGCAGACTTTTAAACATAGTTGATTTGTTTTAAAAAATCAGTCCTCCTCAAGATTACTTGCAGCTACAGAGATATTTTCATACACTGAGACGAGTTAGCCTGTTTAGAAGTTGTGCTGCCATGTGTTTCTTGTCATTTTAACAAATCAATACTATTAGAACTATTTGTTTCAATGCCTTTGTTATCGTTGAATCCCTAACGGTATTTTGTGTGTGTGCTCACTAACATGTACAATGCTCTGCTTCTCAATGGCCACATTTATCTTAAACCTGCAGTTTATCTTAAATCTATCTCTGTCCAGACAACAGATGTACAAAGGCGGAAATAGTTTTGCAACCACGTGTTATGTATGATCTTTGTGTCTTTAACAACTGCCATAAAAAATGTATAACCTTAATATGATTCAGTTTACAATTTAAAGGTCAATGACAAGGAACTGCCATAGGATTCTGCTAAATAACTGGGCCTAACAACAAACTACTGTGGTCTGTACATTGATCTTTGTTTATTTATTTATTTTTATTATTTATTTACTTTTATTTAGACATAAAACTATTACTATGTGCATATCTACACTCATATATGAATGGCCAATCCGTGAAATAATATTTCCTGATTTAAGTTTCAGAAAATAATTATTAATTTTGCAATAATATAATATAATATAAAGAACCCATTCAACAGAACGATTGTTTAAGAATCAGACCTCAAAGTTTAGAATGTCAAGTCTTTGTAAACTTCGTCAGTGAAGAGTCAATGCTGTGATGTTTCCAGTAGAGGGCACCAACGCCTTACTTCTCTTCAACCAGGCCTCACAATACATTTAAACCCACTGTAATACTCTTATTTTTTCTACCTCATAGTCCCCCATTTGATTAATTCCTAATATTTTCAACTTCATCTGTAACAGTGTTTTTTAGATAATTTGTTTCTGTAGACTGTAGTCATAAACACCATTGTATAACATACAAATATGACCAAAAGAGTGAAAGAGCAGTAAGAAACTCTGAAATCAACTATGGATTAAATTAAGATTTATCAAGACAGACAAATGAAATTGGTGCAGCATAATTTGTAATGCTAATATAAGCATCCTACAATTTTCAATACAAATAGAATATACTAATCAGTATACAAATAAACTATAAATCATGTAATCAAAAATCATACTGAACATACTACAAAAGAAATCATACTGAACATACTAAACTATCAAAATAAATTACATTGTTGCTTGTGTATAAATGTATATCTCTACCTGATAAAAATGTCTTAAGATACATCTAGGAGCCCTTTTACATATAAATACACTTCCATTAGAAGTCACAGAAGAACAGTTTGCTAAAGAACAGAATGTCTAAGCAAAACACAAGTATACAGTAATTCATGTGTCAGCTCTGTTGATGTAATGAGACAAGAGATATAGTAAGGACACAGTAGTCCGAAGATATCAAAGATGTCTCTGCTCACTCTGTTCTCTGATACAGACACATGTATGAATCACACAGCAGTCTGCGTACCATCTCACTGCTCTGACTCACATCTGCTGTGGACATCTCCTCTTCAGACTGTGAAAGGAAGTCTCCAACCTCAGGACAGGACCTGATCACAGGAACATTGTAGCCATTGTTATCATCACCTAATGATAAAAATAAGACAGTGAGGGATTAACACCCATTTTAGTGATAAACAGCATTTTATATGGTTATAGGATCAATAATGGAAGGATTAAAAAAGGTTTGTGAAACCTCAGTGATCCTGTGCAAATTACATAAATACTGTATATAAATTACATGTAAATATGTTGGACATTTAACATTTGACATACCACATCGGTCAGCCATGCTGTCAAAGAAGATCCAGGACCGTGGGTTAGACCCATATTTGACAAAAGATACATAATGGCTGGTGTTTATACAGAGGACTGCAAACAGTTGCATCTGGTGCCTCTGTACAGGTGCATCTTCTGGAAGGTGATCTGGAACTGTAAGTTTTTGAGGAGTGTGTTCCTTTCGGGAGGGATGAATGTGAACCTGTAGAAAGAGTACAAATATTTAGGTTTAGGAAGGCATATGGATGAAAAAAAACATGAAAAATGCATTGTATCACAGCAATGTAGAAATACAAAGTGCATAAAAAATATTTTAGTATTAGGTGCACTACCTGTGTGTTGCAGGTGGTGCAATACTGCTTAATTATGCCTGGTTGAAGCTTATGGTCCATCAGGCACTGGACACACTCATATTCAGCTAGATGACCACACAGAAAACATTCCCGGGGAGCTGCCAGAGAAAACAGGAGAAGCATGAAAGATATTGCATCTGAAACTGTCCAATATCTGCATCCACATAACAAATGTTATCAGGAGCAGATTTCATTTAGAAGCATGCTTGTTAAACTCACAACAATGCAAGATGTCTGTGATGTCCAGCTCTGTTGAGGGAATGATTTTAGGGAACATCTTGAACTTCTTTCCAAACCGTGGCATCTGAACTATAAGGCAAGTTGGAATCTAAAATAAAAAGGTTTGATTAATATTTGCAATGTATTTACTAGGCAGGAACCTATAGGGTATGCAAATCTGAATCAAATCAATTATAATCTAATTTACAATAAACTATAAGAAATTAACAAACCTCTTCAAACTTCAGATCGCTTGATACGAAGGACATCTCAAGCAGCTGTTGAACCGAAGGCACAGCTCGCAACTGATTCTTCTCTACAATGATCTGATGCGTATAGGCACCCTGTGCCAAGTCTCCACATGACCTAAAAAAGCACATACAGGTGTTAAGATAATCAGCTTAAGCTTGTTTACACAGAATGTACACAGTTCAAAAGTTTTGGGTCAGTAACATTATTTAATGTTTTTAAAGAATTATCTTATGTCCACCAAGGCTGCATTTTTTTAAAATCAAAAATATAGTAAAAACAGTAATATTATTACTATCTAAAATAGTAATTTTAAAATGTAATTTATTTCTGTGATGGCAAAGCTCAATTTTCAGCAGCCATTACTCCAGTCTTCAGTATCACATGATCCTTCAGAAATCATTCAAATATGCTGATTTGGTGTATAATATAATATAATATAATATAAGCAGTGGAATTGAAACAAACCTGATTTTGAGCAATGGCTCTATATGTAAAACATGTTTTAGTAGTAGGGTGATGAACTCCTCTGGATCTGACGGAAATAGCAGTAAAAATGTTTTAGAGATCAGGGTAACATTAGCTCTAAGCCACAGATGAAAACCTGCAGCTCAACATCAACAAGTAAATGGCCGCTATGGGATAAGTAATACCTTTCTCCTCTGTAGCAAAAGATTTGCAGCCCAGCTGTTTACGAAACTTCATCACACTCTCTGCTGGAACAAAGCCTGTTCTGTAGAGAGAGGCAGAGGTCATATGAAATGAACTGTGAGTACCCTGATGACTATAAACACACATACCCATATGAAGCGTGTTTACTCAAGCTCCATTAGCTTTGTTACGTGACTTTCTTATGTATTAAGAGCCTTTACCTGCGTAAACGGTTCACAATGTCCTGTCTTAAAATGTGTGAAATGCCTTCCTCGCTATCTGCTGATCTGCTAAACATTCTGTTGAAAGCTACGGATGACGTGAAGAGACTGTAAAAGTAGAGAAAAAAAGAAAATGCATCAACATGTATGAAACAGAATGAAACATGAAGTAATTTCTTGAGATGTTTACCTAAAGAGAGTGGCATCTAGATAGCAGGAGTTGAAGTGACCTTGGATTCCCCTCATTCTGCCAATCAGATGGGACAAAACGTCTTGCTCAGCAACAGGGGGAACATCTTCATTTAAATCTTCCAGGAGTGTGACTAAGAAGGGGAAAGGTCATCATCTTTAGGACTTCAACATTCAGAATGTTTCTGTAAGTAGAGGAATAATAAAGCAGACTCAAGAGTCTCACCTGAGGGAGGTTCAAGTGGTTTTGGGATCTCATTCGGGATGAACAGAAATCTGCTGTCTGGTTTGCAGTTGGTCAGTGGCACAAACAAGGCTTTGTTTCCTTCACAGGTGAAATATCGTTTTGTACCAATTGTCCCATCCGAACAAGTCGTCGCCTCATTGTCCTGAAAGGATTTGAGGGATATTTTTATTATTTACACACACAAAACACCACATAATCAGCACACGCTTTATCCTCCGGAGAGAAAAAAAATGCTGATGCTGACCAGCTCAAGTCCTGCCCAGCAATTTTTCTTTCCCTCTGGAACTCCAATCCATCTGATCACCCCATACACGGTCAGTCCATTCAAAGAGATGACCTCTGCCATAGACCCCACCTCCAAAGAAGAATGGGACAAGGACTGAATGGAACCGGACACTTCTGTGTTTAATAAGATACTTCCTTTTTTTGCATTGCGTGAGTTGAGAGCTGGCATGTTGATGCGAGACACCGCTTTCCTTTTCAAACCTAAATAGGGAAAACACGTAAATCATATTATTGCAGAAATCATCACCTGACCCCATTAAATTTTGGTATGAAGCATGGTAGATGCTACAAATTGTTTCAGCTTTGAGATTGACGGCATCGTTTTTCCAGTTTAAGATAACAATCTTTTCTGGAGTCTCTAGTCATAGGATCTCTACAATAACACCCTGATCCAATCAATGAATTCAAATATGTTTTAAGGGCTAAACAGATGATTAACTGACCCAAATCAACGCTATCTCTTAGTGGTTGCCTGGTGTTTAAATGTGACGGAGCCACCTGGACAATATCAGCTGCACTGAAGAAGGGAAGAGGGACAGTCGTCTTTGACAAAATATCATGCTGAGTGTCCTGTGAAAAGATTCAACAGCATGTCAAGAGATCAAGTGGATTCTTCACACCATTATCTAGTTTCTTTGCATTTCAAATATCTTGTCTATGAGATCATGGTCAACACTTATGTCACAGTTCAAAAGTGCATGTTTAGATTATGTAACAGTACAGTACACAGTCATATCAGTCATGTAGATTCAGATGATCTATTAAAGTAAACCTACACATGCCCTCTATGTTAAATAAAAAATTTTATGTAAAGAAAAAATAAATTTTAGCTTACAATTAATAATAGTATTAATAATATTTATTGTAAAATAATTTTAGTATGATAATAAAATATTTTAATACATATTTAATTTACTATAAAATAATAACAATCATAAAAATCAGAAACTAATTAAAATATAAACTATATTGATATTAATACTAATATACTATCAAATGCATATATAAATGTATATATAATAATACATTATTTCAATACACACACATTATGTGTTTTATTGTTATATATTATTATTTTAAAATAAAATAATACTAATACTACCATTAAGTGAAAATAAAGTTGCTCAGTCAACTGTATGTAATTCTTCAAATTGCAAGAATTAATGGAAAAAGCAGAATCCCTTTCCTCACCACTAAGTCCAGCTCAAATCCCAGCATCTGCAAGACTCCTGGCTTGTCTTTCTTGCCTATTTGAATCAGATTTTTGACCAGACATGGTTGAAAGTCCTTCTTGTGTTTGACCACTACAAGATCGTCCTGAGCAAGAGCGCAGATTGCACTGAAGAGCTGGACGTTGTACAGCAGCTCAAGTCGCCTGCTGGCCGGTGAAACGAACAGAAGTAGCTGAGCTTGGTGGCGTGTGAGTGGGTATGTGTCCTGCTTCTTCACCGTGCCGCTGCTCTTGGCACTGCCACCTCCTCCATAAACCATTCCTATGAGATCTCCAGCTGCTGTCTCTGCATCCGCGCGCCCAATTGACCCGCGAGACAAGCCTTTCTTGCTTCTCCTCACTACAATAAAGTAGCGCTCCTGTCTTTCCTCGTTTAGCTCCATGCTGAAGGATGAGTGTTTGCGTGTTAAATGACAGCAGTCGCCTCATGAACACAGGAGTCAGTTATCTACTAGTCAGTCGTGATGTCATTCCGACATTCCATTGCTGACATGCTACAAAGTCATGACACTAAGGATGCTAGGTACTAGGAAATCAGTCATTTCAAAAAGCGACACTAATTGATATGCACTGGTTTACAATATATTATTCGTATTGATTTTTATGCATTTGCATTGATCTGTAAGATTGGATGTTTATTTTAATGACCAATACAGTTTATATTTTCCATTGCAAGTCTTCCAATATACTGAACCGATTATTAATTAATGTTTAACCCCTGACCCAAAGACAATTTCGGGGTATCAATAGTCTTTTTGCCATCTTTTTTGGGACCTGTGAAGCAACCCAGCCTCTAAATGTTTACTTAAGTTAAAGACAGCTGAAAAGAAAATACGTTTTGAGCACCCTCGCATGTTAGACAGTCTCCGTTTAACATATTCAAAAGTCTGCAGTGTTAGTTCCTTATGTGCATGTGCACTTTTTTCTGTACTTTGGTTGAAAGCACCTGACCTCAAATGTCTGAGTGTCTGAACTCTTTAACTTGATGAACTTGTTTTGTAACTTGTTCTTTTCATTGTCAAATACTTTGTTAAAATATTAGTCATTATAAAGGGTAAGAAGTCAACTATAGTTCAGTATGCAAGGAGATATTAGATAGAGGTGAATGCCTCCATCCATACTTCCACATGCATATTAAAAATGTAGGCAAAATAATATCCAAATTTGACTGAAAATATAAGAACGCATCACAAGTGTAGAAAATTCTAAAAATATATATTTAGGCTCATTAATTTAAATTTAATTTCATTTTAACTTCTGATTTACCTCTGTTCCTGATAGTTTGGAGCATGGCCCATCTTACCCTTCTGCCCTATAAAGAGAAGCATTATAATATGACATAAATATTATCTGACTGACTGTGGTTATGTAAAACACTGCATGCAAGTTACAGTTCTACAGACCACACCTTTCCATCAACAACTGCAGCATGTTTAAGCAGAAATCTGCCTTTTAATATGTAGAAATGGGTTAACTAAGTTAACACAAGACAACTCAAGTCATGCATTGCACCTTCACATGCTTCATGTGCTCTGATCACTTTCTGCCATTGTCAGATAAAACTGCAGGGAACATTTAAAAAAAACCCTCTCAAATAACTATGGACGCCACATGGCATTTTATCTTGAAATTTATCTTGCTGCTCATCAGATCAGGTGATGTCTAAGTATGAAAATGTGCTAAAGGTGTTCACCAGACTTGCGTGATAGCATGTGCTAGAGATCCTTTAACAGATTTTTTATGTAACTGGTGAATATGACCTTTACATCACTTATTAGAACAAGACTTGCATTTTATTAGTACAAAATCAACATTATGAAACATTTAGTAACAATTGATTTTGTTGACATAACATGGCCAAATTGGTTTTACACATAGATGGCAAATGTCCAACATCAAGTGAGTTGTGTATACTGTTGCAACACCATCTTTGTCTGCTACACGTTTGATTATGTCTTGGATGCACTCAAATGACCCGTTCACATGACAGCACCTGCAATCTGTAATGTTTATGCTGCAGGGCTATGATGTCCTCAATGAGAAACAAAGAAACAAAACAGAATAACCAATGAATTGTAAAGGTTCTCGCTGCTCTAACTGAAAATCAACTGAGGAAAACAAGAGAAAGAACTTAAGGGGATAGTTCACCCAAAAATGAAAATTCTGTCTTTGAAGAATGCTGGTAAACAAACAGTTGCTGGTAGCCACTGACTTCCATAGTATTTTATCCCATACTATGGAAGTCAATGGCAACCAACAACTGTTTGGTTACAACATTCTTCACAATATCTTATTTTGTGTTCAACAGAAAAAAGAAATTCATACAGGTTTGGAACAACTTGTGGGTCAGTAAATGATGGCAATTTTTTCTTTCTTTCTTTTTATGAAATTTTATTTGGGTGAACCATCAATTTAAAAAAAAAAAAAAATGGAACATTCAGCACACCAGAGTTTTTAGTTTGACAGTAGCATACTCATGTCGAAAACATGAAAAAGATTTTTAAAAATTGCATCCAGTTATTTTACCTGTAAAAGAAACATTATGCTGCTTGATATCGCAAACTGGTATTTGTTATCATATTATTTAAATTAATTATCATAATCATAGACACACTGGTTTTACTGCTAGTGCTTACTGCACTTTTTAAAAAATATATATTTCCTTATAGCGGCAAATGAATCAACTGAAGGAATTCCAAGAAAATGGCTTATTTCCATGTTGCAAAATAAGTTGGATAATGCTGAAATAAAGAGTTAAACTGTAAATGTGCATCTTCTGCAGCTCATAATGTTGTTTTTTTATATATATTTTTTTTACTTTCAATGGACAAAACCCCCACAAAGCAGTTATCATTTAATACTGTGATACCACTGGAAGACAGACATGTCCATACTAAGGACAGTTTGACCACAGAAAGTAAAACAAGGGCTACTCTGATAGACCACACTAGGCGAACCCAGGCTCCCCCTCGTGGTTTTTATAGTGCATTACATGACAACAATAATAATAATAATAATAATAATTAACCTATCTGAAATTATCTAGATAGTTGTGCATTTCTTTGCTTTATTGTTTTAAACACAATAATTTCACATGAAATATCAAATCAAAGCTTTAATTCAGTACAGTTTCCATATTAGCTTAATGTTACTATGAAAGAAAACAGGAAAATTCAAAAGTCCTTCACTTCATTTTATTGCTGCATGACAGTCTAGTACACATGTACTTTCAAATGGCCAACAATATATTTGGAGCCATAATTTTAGCTGCCACTGGATTTATTATACACTACATTGTAAATATATATATAAAAAAAAAAAGTTCAAGCATATTCATATCAAGCTTTTATTTTGAACCAAGGTACTTGCATGTTTGTTGTTCGCTTGCATGCTTGTTGACTCTTTCTGCATCTTAGTGACTAAAGTTGCGACGACTAGGCTGATGGAGGATCACGCGATGTATGCGAGAGTAGTGTTGAGGAAGACGCTGACGAATGTGGTTCTGCCGCTGAATGCAATTGCGGCTGAGATTGTGGCGGTTGGACCGTGCCTGAGCCCGCTGTATCCGGCCCACCTGTGACACTTTGACCAGAGCTCTGGCCTGAGAGACCAACCGCTGAGATACTCGACTACTGCCTCGAGCAACAGGGACTTCAGGTTCGACCATGCTTTAGAAAGAGAACAAAACATTCGTTCAGATCAATCCAATGCTGACTGTCAGTGTCAATGTAGTTACAACCTCACAGCAGGAATAAAGTGATACTGACTGGGATCTCTGAGCAGATGTATTGGTTTTACCTTGCATCACTGACCAAGCTGGCAGCACATTTCTCAGTGCTGGACAGGTTTCCTATTAACTTGAACTGCACCTCACTGGGTTCAGGGGATGCCTCTCCATCTACAGAAAAGAATTATATATACCAAGGAAAGCTGTAAGTTAATAAGCACAATTGCACCTCTGTTATGAGACAACTGTTATTTGTGCCAAACAAGTTAATAAAAATATATTTTGAAGAAAGTTTTGCCCACACAATGGAAGTCAGTGGGGTCCAAAACAACGTTGTATTACAGACTTTTACTGTATTAAAAAAAAAAACTTTTGCAGACCGTAAATTAACTGCACTGTATTTTAACCCAATATTTCAAGGATGGACTGAAGCAACTAATAATCTTGATAATCATAAATCACGCTTTTGAGGAATGGTTATTTGTGCATCTCTCAATCAACATTATATTGTATATTTGTACATTTCTCAGTCAACATTGTAGTTACATCATGAGAACTTCATCTTACTTTTTGGTCATATAAATATCAGCAGCTGCAAAAAAAAAAAAGTGCATATTTAGCTCAGTTTCTGCCTCTGAATAAAACGGAAGTGTTTTTCCTTCTTGAGTATGAGCTCCACACCCTCATATTCTGAACAGGGTTTTCATATCAATACGAGACATTTGTAATGCTGTACTCACCAGCAGCATTGACCAGGAGCCAACCCTCCTCATCCACTTCTGGTGACCCTGGTTTTGGTACAGTTGGTTCCTCAGTTGTTTCATTTACACTTCCAAAGAGCAGGTTTGTGAGCCGTTGAAACATTGTTATAAACCAAGAGTGATTGTACTGAATGTCAACTTGATTGCCTGGTACACGGGTCTCACAATTCTTCACTCTTGACAGACGTTATGAGCAGATCTCAGCAGTACAACTTCAGCCAGACCTTTGGTTGAGGAGAAATGTGAATATAAATGTAAACACTGTGATATAGTTCCTGTTTTGAATTATCCCCACTAATCAAGACTTGAATAAAAACCAGGCTAAAAGCTATTTTAGGCTCATATCTCATATTGAGGTCAGTCTTCCAGGCTTCTGTCAGGCTTCATTTTGAAATTCTATTTTTCAGGCTTGGCAACCTCTTTCAATGCACACTTAGAAATTCAAAACATTCAGATTACACTGTGTTTTTAGTAGAAACATATATGTTTCTTTAGTTAAAGATATTTTCAAAATGTGACTGTCATGTAAAACCTATATCTGGAGATATTTGTTCATATAGCCACAAAGATGGATGAACAGTTTTGGGAGTGCATTGTTAGACCCCAGCTTCATTGCTGGCGTCCATCTGTCATTCTCCAGCAGGGGGGTGTGCCATTAAAACAATACATACATTTTCTCTGAAAACACAGCATCTGCATCATGTGGAAATTATTTAATTTCGATGTTTTTTATGCAGGGTTCATTATTAACATTTATTTTATTTATTTTTTTTGCTCCCTCTCCTTTAACACTTGAATTATTTAGAAAGGCATGTCGAGGAAAACAAGGGCCACTGATTTATCCGTTTGTGCAATAGGTTACAAATAACGTTACACACTAAAACAAAGTGTCCTGTAGAAGAAATGTAAATGACAAATACTATCACATCACTATCGATGAATGAAGCAGCGTCATAAACTTCGATTATGATTAAGACATATAGTGTTATTATGTATTAATTTATCCATATTTCTATACATGCATATATACAAACAAAACAGATTTAGGAATATACAGATTTTCTCGCATAGTTTAAAAAGAGGCTTAAGTGAAACATACTACCTGCTTCTTTACAGAGCAACCGATTTTCCGACGTCTAAATAGTTAAAAATACATCTTTGGTTGTTTAATCCAAGGTAGAGGTGCAGAATATATGTTCTTTTCTTTTGTTTCTTTTTGCTTTTAGAAACTGTTCCACGTAAATTATAGCACCGCAGTATAGATCCCAACGAACAGCTGATAATAAAAACAAAAAAGCCCAATGATGTAGCTCCGCCCACAGTCGAGCGCTAGTCCAATGGGATTCGTACACAAACCGAGGGGTGGAGCCAGAATTTAACGGGGTGTATTAACCGTTTTTTCATCTATAACAGACCTGGGAACAGTTTTTAACACTATGCTATAAAACTCATTGGTTGAGCGTGAGTAAAACTGATTCCAGTTCAGCTGTGGAAGACGGTAGCATGACATGTCGAGGGCAGGTCGAGGGGCGTAGTTACACATTTTGAAAACTGCAGAATGAGCGCAGCAACTGACAGTAGGGATTATTTGGGTATGAAGGAGAGCTTTTTTTAAAGGCATAGTTCACTCAGAAATTAAAATGTGCCTTTATGTAGTTCCAAACCAATATGGCTTGCTATCTTTTGTGGAAAACTAAAAAGAGAACATTAGGCGGACATATTTAGTCACAATTCACGTATGGAAATGATGCAACCAAAGTCAACAGTGACTGAAGCTAAAAGTGTAACATTTTACAATATCTTTCCGCATTATTTAGAACATGAGCCTTTAATTCCCTCTAAATGCCATAAAGAAATAAAACACGTTTTGATCTAAATGAATGGACACATTAGTATTAATATTTTAATGTAATTAAAACGCGTTTTAAGCAAATGTGATTGATAAGTGAATAGGAAAACACATTTTTATCACGGCGAAATTTTGCTAATAATAATAAAAAAATAAGTCACGTTAAATCATTTTAAACAGGATTCGATACTATAGGTATATTTAAGCCTCCTAAACACCTAGTAAAATATTTTTTTGTGTTTAGATTATCAAACATTGTGTCAAACATTGTGGACACAAAGTTCTTTCATAAAAAAGTGATACACACTGGAGGACAAAACCTGCAGAAATGATCAATAAATATGTCTATAAATAAATAATAGGAAAATGAATAAATGATTAAACAAAACAAGATAAAACAAATATAATTATTTTGTAATAAAATTAAATCCTGAATTTATTGTTATTACCTGTTTTCTTCACTTATTATTTTCTGTATTTATACATTTATTTGTATCATTTTAACTTTTATTTAATTATTCTTTCATTTATTTTTAATAATTTTATGATGACATCATTAACATAATATATTTATATTGTATTTATTTTTTATATTGTATTATTATTTTGTAATTGTTTATATTTAGTTATAGCTTATGACTGCAGAACCAAACAGAAAACCCGTTAGGAACATCGCAAAATAACCACATTTTATTACCACAAGATGGAGCCATAATCAAACTTGTACTTTCACCCCCAAACTCATTCCAGGCTCGTCTTGACGTCTGTTGAAAAGTGCATTGTGCACTTGTCAGCTATATCAAAACTAGATAATAAAACATATCCAGAACACATACATTCTAGTGTATTATATATAATGGCCTGGACTTTGAAACAAAACTTGATGACAGTGAACATTTCATCACTAAACGATGCATCTGTACAAACCAAATCTAGCATATGTGTTTTGTTACGAAGTAGACTTAAGTAGATTTATGCTGCACACGCTAATTCTATTATCCTCCATTATGCAGACTTTGGAAATGGCAAACAGTTCCTTCACAAAAGCTTTAATTAAAATGAACAATCTGGCTTTTTAACACACATTGGCTTGAAGCCATGAAGTAAACAATGCATTTAGAATGGCTAATTTGCATGATCTTAATAGGCACGAATTAAACAATTCACTTGTGTGTATTACCTGCGAAGTGCGCTTTGGAACATTCACACCTAGGCAGCAGTAAAGTGCTGGTAATTAAATGAAACACTGACGACAGCGATGGCTGTAGGCTGTTCTTTTGGGCGGGTCCAAATGGACGTATACCCACTTAGTCTGTCAGACTATTTTAAATAAGTACAGACTCACTAATTGTAGTCCAGTTCAGTGTTCACGTTACGAGAACTGCGGATTGGCGAGGTCACTACATTTAACGCACTATCTGAAGTGGAGCGATTTTACCCCTGAAAATAACTGGACTGGATTGTTAAAATTGAAGAGTTCAGCATGCCTCGATCTTTCCTCGTAAAAAAGTATTTCACCAGCAAGAGGCCAAACTACAGCGAGTTGGAATGTCAGAACGGTGAGTTTTGGTATATTCTTTAAAAATCGAATCGATCTAAACGTAAAATGTTTTTAGAAAGCAAAACTTGCACATTAGATTGACTATAGAATAGCAACTGTATTTATGTTCGAGTTTTCATAAAGCTTCGATAAATCGGACATAGTTATAAGACAGATAAATGTAACTTTCAAAAGTTTGTGGATAATTTCCCGTGTGTGGAATTTCGATTTAGACAGCTCCTTTTCTTCACTGGATCTGGTTGCATGTGAGATGCACGTTTTTTTTGTTTTGTTTTTTTGAGTTTCTACTTCTGTTGCAACTATCTGCCTTATGCTTTTCATTGGCAATCACTTATATTATCAACTATCAAGTCCTTTAAGTCGAGTGTTTATGGTTGTAAAAACATGATTAGGAACTTATTTTGTCTTTCTCTCTCACCCATCAGATACTCTGCCAGACAGATACCCACTAGCAGAACTTCCAGCAGTCACCAGCGACTTCCCAGTAACTTGCTTGACCACTGGACTGGTTTGGGATGTCAGCTTGCTACCCTCCCTTCACGATCCCACATCCCCATCCACCCTTTCCACTAGCCAGGGCCCGCTGGACCTCAGCTCCCCGTCCAGCGTCAGCTGCAGCAGCAGTGGGGAGGAAGATGAGGGGCGCACCTCAGACCCACCGAGCCCAGATTCCTCAGACACCTACCACCCCCAACAGACCAGCAGGCCGAGGCGCAACAGCAAGAACAGAGCAGGACAGAGAGAGGACAAGAGCGAGGCCACCGTCCCAGCCACTCGACCGGCCTTCTTCTGCAAGCACTGTCCCAAAGAATACAACAGTCTTGGTGCCTTGAAGATGCACATCCGCTCACACACACTACCATGCGTCTGTCCCACCTGTGGAAAGGCATTCTCACGACCCTGGCTGTTAAGAGGACACATTCGCACACATACAGGTACATCAACAAACTTACTAAATGTTTTCTCACTTTAAGGCTTATTTCATCAGTTACTAACACCAAATTTGGTTCATGCTGATTTGCATTAAAAAAATTTTTATGAAATTTCAAATGTTATCGATTTATTGTTAAAGACATAGCAGAATAAACATTGTCAATTTTGCTTTGGAAATTAAATTTTATTTTAAAAAAAATATTTATTTTTAAGATGTAGCAGAGTAAATGACTTTAATTTTACTAGATTTAATTACATTTTAAATTAATTTTTTTTAAAGATTGTAGCTGAGCAAATATCTTCTATTTTGCTTTTAATTAAAAAATTATTTTCCTTGTTCTTAATTTATTTGTAAGATGTAGCAGAGTAAATTACTTTTTAATTTGACTAGATTGAATTAAATGTTAAATGAATTTTTTTTAAAGATTGAAGCTGAGCAAATATCTTCTATTTTGCTTTGAATTAAAAAAAAAAGTATTTTCCTTGTTTTTAATTCATTCATTTTTTTTAAAAGATATGTTTATGTAAATGTCTTCCATTTTTGCTTTGGAATTTCAAAGGTCCATGGGAGAATTTTTATT